TCCCAAGTCGACCCTTGTTCCTTAGCTGTTTCCTTCGTCTGGCAATTCTGCGCATGCACACACCTGGGAACAGGCTCCAGCTCTTTGTCTGCCTCACTGATGTTTAACTCTGAAGGCAGCTGATACATGCCATACGGCTGTGGCCGCCTCTCTGCCTCTGACACAGAGCCCTCATCAGAGTCTTCCCCAGACTCCAGGACTGGCCCATGTTTCTCCCCAACCTCCTCACTGTCCGAATCTGCTGCCAGCTCTGCTGGCTGCTGGTGGGCCACAACACCAATAGCCATGGAGTTTCCAGATGGTTCTCCATCCAGTTGTTAACCATACCAACCTTGCTTTGCTTCTAAGATCAACTTGATTTGACTATGAGTGGGATATTCCCTAATGAGCTCTCTTTTTGTCTATATTCTATATTCTTGTATTAAGAATGTTAACTCTTTTATATGGAAGACAAAAGTCAAAGAGAAACTTGGTAGAATGAATAGAAATGGAGTGAATGGTCAGAAGCTAAACTGATGAAGTTGGAAACATAAAGTTTCATTCACCTTTAATCCTCACAAATGTCAGTGTAGCTCTTTTTGATTTGAAGAGAATCTATTTTTTCAAGCAGAAAATTGAAGCTTGATGTCTCCAACCTCATTGTTGAATTGGTCCCTGGGAAAATACCCCAACATCCTGATTTGCATACTTACAAATAAGTACGCTTTGCGCTGGTTTTCCCCTCCCTGCAGAAAGTTACTAAGGTGCAGTATGAAGATGGAAGTCTCTAAATGTGTACAAAAACACAAGGAAAAGAAGAAGGAAAAAGGATAGGATATCAAGCAAAACAGTAATAGTAAATATTAGAAAGTAGGAAAAAATGAATAAAATATGTTCTATCAGAGAGACAGAATTATGTGAAGGTGCCGTTAAAGTTAAGCTAAAGTTAAAGTTAAGCTGTTAAAGTTAAAGCTAAAAGCCAGCGTGATTTAAGTAGTAGACTAGGACAGGGGAAGCCCAGCTGAAATCCCCACCTCCTACTTGAAGTTCATTGCATAATACTGAATTATGCATCACTCCTTAGTTCCTGCAAAATTATTTGAGCCAATTGTTGGGTGGATAAGTTTCGTGAAAGAGAAATTATGTTCACTGACTTGAGTTTTTGAAAAGATGACAAGGTATAAAGTCTCTTCTTAATAAATAAATGGCTGTGTTGCACGACAGCTGTCAGTTCACAAGCAATCGGTTAAGCTTCAAATGTTTCTTGTGGGATCAAGATACCCATCCAGAAAGATAATTGCCTACTGCGTCACTGCTATTTATTATGCTGGCTTATCAGACCTTCTGGTGTAGATATAACACCAGCCTATAAAATTCACCTTATAGAGGACCGAATATCTTCAAAAAGTATCACAAGAACCCTTAAAACATAATTGTTTTGACAGTACAAGTGAAGCATGCCTTCAGTTTTAATCTTTAAAAACTTGTTCTCTTGGGTTGAGAGATGCCTAGAAGGGATAACACCACCACAGACTGAGATGCTGCTGAAGCAGCAGATTCTGTAGAATGCCTCTCAGAAGTAACGTGAAGGGCATGGTAGGTCCTTCAGGTTAACATTGACGGATGGAAAGTCAAAATCAACATAGAGGATCCATGATTATCTTCCGGATTCAATGTAGGACGCCCAACACTGATTTTCCCATGTTTTATTTTTATTTACTGGAGAAAGAGAACGATAGGAATGTCTTTTCTTGCTATTAATATACTACTAAATGGAAGAAGAAGTAAAGAAGCTCCTTGCATGAGAAGCTAACTGTATTGAAGGTAAAACAAAGTCCAGTTGCCTTTTGAAAAAGCCCCTTTGGGACAACCATGACCTGGATGACGGAGAATCTCCATAGATACTGAATGGAAGGAGTTTGTTTTTTTGCATAAGTTAATTTACTCTTTACTCTATTGCAAAAACAGAAGGAAGAAAGCTACTATGCAACTAAGAGAAACTTGGGGGAGGAAGATTTATTAAATCAATGATGTTTTTGACTCTACCTGCATTTACATTTTCTATTATGGTCAGGTAAAGGTAAAGGTCCCCCTCGCACATATGTGTTAGTCATCCCGATTCTAGGGGGCAGTGCTCATCTCTTGTTTCAAAGCCAAAAAGCCACTGCTGGTCCCTGGGGACGCGGTGGCTCAGTGGCCAAAACGCTGAGCTTTTTGATCAGAAAGGCCAGCAGTTCGGCGGTTCAAATCCCTAGTGCCGCATAACAGAGTGAGTTCCCATTACTTGTTCCAGCTTCTGCCAACCTAGCAGTTTGAAAGCATATAAAAATGCAAGTAGAAAAATAAGGACCACCTTTGGTGGGAAGGTAATCGCGTTCTGTGCCCCTTCAGCATTTAGTCATGCCAGCCACATGACCACCAAGATCTCCTCGGACAGCTCTGGCTCTTTGGCTTTGAAACGGAGATGACCACTGCCCCCTAGATTCGGGAACGACTAGCACATATGTGCAAGGGAGGAATCTGTACTTTATTATGGTCAGATTTAGAATCTCTACATAGAATGTTTTAACTAACAGCAGAAACATTTTTGGATCTGAACTTCCCATCTTATGTACCTTTTCCATTTTATATATATTTTTAAAGTCTGGAAGAAAATAACTAGGCATAAGCTGTTTTTCCTATATCCATATACAGATTTTATGTAAACCACCTGTGCAGATATTGACTAAGCTGTATTATCTCCTCTTTTATGTTTTCCTGCTAGATGCACATTAGATGCTAAATGTGTACAGCACCATCGTGCTTTTCACCCTGGTATATAATAAAAAATCTCTTGTTCTTTAGGAAGTGGAACTCCATGTAGTTCTAACTAAATCAGAGAAAGGTAGCCTTGGCTTCACGGTGACGAAAGGCAGTGACAATATCGGCTGTTACATCCATGATATAGTACAAGATCCTGCCAAAAGCGATGGGCGATTGCGACCCGGAGATCGTCTAATCAAAGTGAGAAACATTTTCAGATTTAAAACATAAAATCTGTACAAGAGAAAAGGATTTGGAGCAGTGGTGGGTTCCAGATCCAGGTGAAACTGGTATGGTGCAACAGGGCCGGGCGTCTACCACATGCATGCGCGCAGCACACGCGCAGCGTACTTACCTTCTGCGACGCTCCAGCTGCTCGGCGAAGCATTGCGCAGGCACCATATGCTCTGTCTGTATGCGCGTAAGCCCTGATCAGTTCAAATACAGGTAAAGAGGGCGAGTGGGCCCTCCAGAGCACCGTACCAGAATGGTACCTGGTGCTCCCAGCAGGTACCGTTACACCCGTACCGGGGCGTACCATCATATCTTACCACTGAGGAAACAGAGGTGGGGTCCCGAGCTGCTACCAGAGCTCTTTAGGTTATGCAAATATGGCGTCAACTCGCAATGTTATCATAGTCGGAGAAGGGGGGGAGTGCATTCCACGCATACTGTCGGCTGTCATCAGATCTCAGATTACTGCAGCAGGCTTAGGAGTGCACCTCATTGGGGATGTGATTTATGACACAGACTGAGGGGAAGGAAGGAACAGGGTTAAAGTTCAGCTATAACGCAAACATTGTGCATCACTAACTCAAAACTATTGTTTGATAGCATTTTTCTGAAGTGCATATCTGTTTGAGAATTATTGGAATGGTTCTTTGCAATGGCTTTCACTGGTGGTGGCGATTATTACTGTTTATTCAGCTAGTATCTTATGAACCTGACATGTTTTCCCCTTCCATTCAATCGTACTTGATTCTCGGAGACTGCCTGGACAGGTTCCTGCTGGTTTTTTTGGCAATGTTTTCCAGAAGTGGTTTTGCCATTGCCTCCTTCCTGGGGCTTAGAGGAAAGTGTCTGGCCCAACGTCACCAATGCTGGCTTTGTGCCTCAGGCGGAAGTAGAACTCGTGATCTGCCAGTTTCTAACCTGTGCCATGACTTCTACGCCGAACTGGTTCTCTATATCAGTGTTTTTCAACCTTTTTTGTGCAAAGGCACACTTTTTTCATGAAAAAAATCACAAGGCACACCACCATTAGAAAATGTT